TAAAATATACAAGTTTTCCTGTGTTGTCGACGATTATTAATTATCAGTACCGTTAACGACGATCGAACGTAGTCAGAAAAAAATGTTTGTCGTCGATATTGGTCAGCGGTAACCAGAGACAAATTCTTCGCCATCGATAATGGTTATCGGTAACGAAAACAAAATTCGGGCCATCGATAATGGTCACCGGGAAGCAGAAAAAATCCCGGTCATTTATATCGATTACTGGCAACCGAAATGAAATTCCTGTCGTCGATAACGTTTATTGGTAGCCAAAAAACATTTTAATCCTTCATAATGGTTATTCGCAATCGGAACAATCGAAAATTACTATTTTTTGGAAAGTTTCTTTCGGATTCATCGATAACTGGTTTCCATTGAAATGAGACTGAATTTCTGCTCAATCACTCGCTCAAAAAGTATTTAAAGCAACTGTTACTTCGGATCCCAGTCGTTGACAAGTAAGAGCGCGTTTATTTCCCAAACAACCGCAAAACAACAATAAATATAAATAAATAAAAATATATACAGGGTGGTTGGTAACTGGTGGTAGCCGAAAGAAGTCGAAAATATGGAATAAAAATTTAAAAATTAAAAAATAACGTCAATCGAGACAACGATCTACAGTAAGATCCGTTACAACGAGACGCGATGAAGTGCACGCGTACCGACCGAAAATTCAAAGTCGATTTTCTCGAGAACAAAGCCTCGAAGGAAAAATTTTTATTCTATATTTTCCACTTCTTTTTTCGCGTAGAATCACCCCCTTTCCGCTTGTACCACCAGTTACCAACCACACTGTATATTCAGAAATATTTAGACACGTAGCGCAGTGACTATAATAGCCTTTTACATACAATGAAAGTACAAAGTTGGGTGACTATAGTCACCTCTGTAGTATATCACGAATCGTCCGTATTAAATGATTACTGTCATCTTCGTTATACAGCAACCACTGGACACCGAACGACTATAACGATATTTTTATGCAGCGAAAGCACGCGGTTGAACGACGATAGTCAGCTCCGATATATTACGAATCGACTGCGTTAAATGATTACGATCATCTTTATTATACAAGACACACTCGAGACTGAATGCCTTTAATCATCTTTTTATGCAGTGAAAGCACCTGGTTGAATAAGAATAGTCAGCTCCGCTATAATACGAATCGACTGTGTTAAATGATTACGGTCATCTTTATTATACAAGATACAGTCGAGACTGAATGTACAATCTATAATCATTTTTTATGCAGTACCACCAGTTACCAGCCACCCTGTATAACGTACATACACGATGTTTCAGAATACGTAATCAGCAAGAAGAAGGTAAGTATGCGTTGGCAACTAAGCGATTGCGGATTTTGTCATTAGGTGGTATTGACAAAAGCCACAATCGCTTAGTTGCCAATCCAATAATTCGAACGAAAGGAAGAGAACGAAGAGCGCAGTTTTAACTTTAAACAAACAATGTGAAATTTTACACAATACACAAGAATCCCTAGCGACTTGGTGGAAGCGTATGCTTCATCTATGGCGCGTTACATAGAGCAGCGAACTTCGACAAGCATCGTAACTATGAGAATTGTATTCAGCAGCTAATAAGCGCCAAGCGAACGACGGATAACGCTCGACAAGTTTGCCAAACAGATATCACATAGTTTAGAAAAGTTCGCGAGAAACGCGCAAACATGAGAATGGTTTGCGATGAACCGACGATGAAGATTTCTCATCCTCTGTGCAACGTTCTCAGCCGATTTTCCTTACGAGAAATTGCAATTGCCGGAGCGATCGTGGCAAGCGTATTTGCGCTGTTCTAATAAGAAAAATAAATAACGAAATGCGTAACAGTTGCATTACGAACGAGACGATCCGCACAAATGTCTCTCCGCTTTCGTAACTTTCGTCCGAGCTTCTTATTTACCTTCCATTAGTTGACCAAAGAAAAAAAAAGAAAAAAGGAAGAGAGAAAGAAGAACGGAAGCGGAAAGAGAAAGAGAAAGAGGAAGAGGAAAAGTGAAAAGAAGGAAGAGGAGCGCGTTATAATTAGAACGAACAGCTCTACTAAATGGGAGTAATTAACGGAACAAAAGATTCACGTCCGTTCGACGAAAGGATGAATGAAACGGCATTGCCTTCGACGCTGTGCTTTTCGAACCTGCTTCTCATTTTCTATAAATAATTCTCATCGATGTAAAAGCGTGTACTGCGGCGGCGTATACCGAGCGCGCTCTCTCTCTCTCTCTTTCTCTCTTTTAAAAACGGCGCTGATTTATTTTTCGTGCAGCGCGAACGAGATTAATCGGCGCCTAACTGCACGCCGAGATATCGGTCGTTGAAAGAGCCGATGTAGAACCGTCTTTACGTAATAAATGGAGCAACTGTTGATCGCGGAACGATTGCCAGCCAGGGGGTTTTTCCCTCGTTGGAAATTTATGTAACACTTTTCTCTGCCCCCCTCTCTCTTTTTTTTGCGAGTTTTTCTCGATCTTCACAGTTACCAGTTATTTCGGTGACAAATTGCGAAATCGATTATTCGAAGATTTAAGAGAAACGTTTGGCTGGTCGGTGCTTACACAGTGGAGATTTTGCATTTGGAGTTTCCACGGGGACGAAGGATGGGGAAAGATACCGTGGACAGTGAAATTTTATTGGATCGAGCGACGAGTTTGTTCGACTCTGTTCGGTGTACGGAAGAGCGTAAAAGTCGCTTAAGGACTGGATTCTAGAGGTTCGTAGTTGAAGGACACAGATTCAGAGAAATGGCACGAAGAAACGACGATCGACGTTGATCAGGTCGATTTTATGTGAAAGTAAAGGCTACGCTCTTAACGTGCACTTTGAGGAATTTCTGCTCTATCAACTTCTAACTCCTCTGATTATCCATGGAAGTTTCACAAAAGATGGTTCGATTGACAGATTTCTTAAAGAACGCGTAAATTAGAGAACTTTAAAGAACTTTACGAATTAATTAGAACTTTGTCAGGAACTGGAACGTAGTGCCAAAGACTGGCATAAGAACAAGGAATTATTAACAAGGGAACGTATACTCGCGCACAGTGCTATAGCGTACAAACGTACAGACGCCTTGGCTGATAAATTTTAGGATAACGAAACGAAATAAACTAGAGGATACGAAGTTAATGCAACGATCCTTAACTGGTAATCCGCAGACGCCAGTGGAGCCACAAAGTCCTCGCACGCGAAATACTGTCGTATTATCCGAGTAAAGGATACTTAGTACACGTGTTTTATTTATTTGTATATATTATAATATAAATTTTTCCTCTTCAAAATGCAAGCTTCTTAAGCTTCGAGTGCATGCAGTCTTTTTTATACTTTTTACTGTTTAAAAAAATGCCTGAAAATACGTTGAATTCGTCGTTAGATGATATCGCTATGGAGCAATTTTTAACACTACGCGTTACTTGATTTTTTAAAATTTTTTAAGATTTAGACGAAACGAGATTTAAAGAAGAATACGAGGAAAATGAAAAAATTCTGAATACTATTGGTCACGATACATCTGGTCATAATACAAAAATACGATGCACGGTTAAAAGACGCGATCTTTGTATTTTCTTTACGACAACTGCAGCTATAGAATCGCTATATCAGAACTAGATACAGAAATAGGTATGGCATTGTTTCTCCGGCGATTTACCGACTGCTGACAATCAATAATTGGCGATAATTTCCAGCTCCGGTTTCCTGGGTAGAGCGCGAATTAATCTCGACGACCTGCGTCGATTAATCAACTGCGATTCCACAGACGAAGGAAGATAAATTGCTTGGCTTTTCAAGTGGCCTCTTCTCCGCGCTATCGCCTTCTATTCCTCTGGCCTTTTCCTGCAACCGACTTCCTTGGTGAAAAGAAAAAAAGGGGGGCGGGGGAGGGGGAAGGAAAAGAAGAATATCGCGAAATTGAAAGAAGATCAAATCATTGTGAAGAAAGTTACGGTCGTGGTAAGAAGATCGCGGTGGAAGAAAAAATCACGGCGAAAGGAAGGAACCTTCGAAAACTTTTTAGAGAAGGAAAGTTGTTTCGTTAAAACGACAAAGAAAGAAAATAGGAAAGGAAAGGAGCCGAAAGACGATGGCAAGAAGGTTGCTTAGAAATTTTATTTTAGAAAATTCCTCGTCGCTGTTCGTGAAAAGAGGAGACGCGATAAAAAGTCGTGGAGGAAAAAAGTGACTTTAGACACTCGTTTCGCCCGCGGGAAAACTCCTAATGAACTAATCCTGTCTCTCCGGTAACGCTGTGCCTGGAGAAAACTTCTTTCGCTTTTTACCTTTGTAGAGAAAACTTTTATAAAAACGGTCTTAAACAAAACCAAAGAGAGAAAGAGAGAGATTCGCCGAGACTCTGTCTAAAACGAAGATCTCATCGTGGAAAGTCGCATGGGAAATTCTACTCCGCTAGAGAAAAAACGAAAGTTGAAAACAGATATAATGGTACACTATGTTCCGCGAGAAGAACTTCGAGGAAACAGGAATATACATCTCGAAGAAAGCGAAAAATAGGAAAATATTCTTCAGGACTTGAATCTATCGAATTTCTAACTCGACAGCGGATTTTTATGCAAATTCGCGTTTTTGAGAATATACTTAAACAGATAGAAACTCGGTAGAAAATTGTTTCATCGATCAACTAATACAGAAAGCGTCGTACTTCCGATATCTCATATATTTCCTCACGCTGTGTAGATTTTCTAAAGCGACGCACTATCAAATTTCCCATAAATGTATGAAAATCTGTTAATCATGGTCTATCAATAGACATTCGAACCTAAGATACACGACGTTTAGTACAAATAAGAAAATAAATGTTAGAACCCTGTACAACGATACTATACTGTGATGCTATGTAATATAATAGCGGAGGCTAACAGTGGATCGTCCCAAAAGTTTCTTTCACTGTGTAACACGCGTAATTTTCGAAAATTTTGGGCAAACGCGGACAGATAGACGAGAGAACAAATCGTAGACGAACGTACACCGTTTGGTTCTCGAAAAAATTCGCATTTGGAGAAGAATGCGAATTTCGCAGCCCCTTTTTTAATTTGTCCACGACTTCCTCCTTGAAGAGCACACAAACGAAAATGTTGATCGAACGAACGTGGACGAACCGTAGAATATCCCTTAGTTTCTGCAAGAATTGGCACTCGGTGAATGCCGAGTTCCGTTGCTTCGACTCCTCATTTCCTCGATTCCTCGCCGTTTCCTTGATCCTAAACCGCGATCTATAAAATATCGACTGTCTTCGAGTCGAGAAGGATCAACGTCTAGCTATGTAGGTCGGCGATCATCAGCCGTACTTGTACGGATTATACTTCATACCTTTTGCCTTTAGAAGACGCTATCCCGCGCCTTTGATGCCACGTTCCTGTATTCTTGGAAGCGTTCGTCATTGTACCGTGCGATTTCATTTTTATGGCTCTCCACCGGGACGACGTTTTTAATGCTCCATGCTGCTGCTTTTCCTCCTCTCCTCTCTTTCCCTTTTCTCTCTCTCTCTCTCTCTCTCTCTCTCTCGTTTATATTTCTCCTTCGTTTTATCTTACCTCCTAAAGACAGACTTTTATGGCTAGAGCACTCGTTGCCTCGATGCATTATGACGACAAGTATACGATGCACGGTGTATTCAGCTATATAATTAGGTTGAATTTATACCTTTACTAAAGTTTTACTAGCTTTTTTTCACAAGATCATCAAACGTCGTTATGTCACATCTGCGATGACTCGCCAAGGTATTGCAACATTTAGCCAAAGAAAATCTTGATGTACATATTGTATAAAACGCTTTGAGATTTCACCTATCCTATAACGAGGCACGAAGATGCTGATTAGGTATACAATTTGAAACATTTCTCAAAATCTATATATATATATATATATATATATATAATCTATATATATATATATATATATAGATTTTGAGAAATGTATATATATATATATATACACATATATGTATATGTATGTATGTAGAATAAAGAAATAAGAAACGTGACTTATCAATGATAAGTTATCATGTTCCTGCTTCGTGGTCTACGTATAAAAGTAACGACCAGGCTGCAGATATTTGTGCAAATTTTATATTCACATCTTTACGGATATCATTGAAAAACTGTAATATGGATAAAAAATTGTTTTATCCATTAAATATATATATATATATATATGAAGAACGCTATACGTACTAACATTTTTTACGTGTCTGTATGTTATGTATATTCTGTGCATTTGTGTATCTCCAAATTGTCCATGAACGCATGAGAATCTGCAGTCTAGTGATAACAGTTGTCCTTTCAAGAAAACGTAAACAAATTCTCTACGTAGATTAATATTTACGATTTAACTAAATTTAGATTATAAAATTATTAGAATATTAAAAGAGCTTTTAACAGAACGAGTATCAAAGAATCATCCTCCTGTGATAAAATATAGTAAATATAGTATAGTATATATAGTAAATATAGTATAAGATATGTTTTTGTTTAAGAACATTAAGCATCGCGATGATTTAATAACGTTATAATTCATTTTCGCCGAGATTCCATAATAGATTGAAATTATTGTAGCCTTATTTGTTTGCCGTGTAGCCGTCTAAGTTATTCCGCGGTCACACGCAACACGCGAGCCTAACTTCGCGTGACCGATGAGAAGCATGCACGGCATGAAGCTTTAATTTAGCTAACGCAACTGGCCGATTAAGAAACTTCCCTGAACCGCTTCACTTTCCACTTTTTCGATCGACCAATATTATCTCTGAATAACATAATCACTACAAGCCTGTTGAAAGCCCTTTCCCTCGATCGTGTTGATTGGAGACTTAACGTCATCCCGATGTTCGTTGCCGGGAATTCTTATTCTCGCAGGTTTTCATCCTGACAGTGATTTTCTGCAAAGTAGTTTACCGTACCGGGAATTTTATATTAGATTTCTGACGAAGTGCATTTACCTTGTCCTGATTTTCCTTGCATCTTTACTTCTGCACAGTTCCATTTTTATTATTTTATCTTCTACCGTATCTTAAAAGTTTGATGAAATCTCTGAATTCAACTTAATTTTATTCTATACACGATTTACCTAGAAAACAAATTACAAAACACAATATATAGGTATAGAGTAGAAGAGGTTACTTGATCGATCAATTAGAGGTTAAATGTTAAAAATTCGTTAATAATTTACAAAGAGTAGAAAAGGAAAATATAGGACAAGAATTATGCGACACTAGAATTTTAAGTTATCTTGGTCGGCAGTAAATAATAATTTTTAGTTGTTGGATCAAAGATTTAGTAAACACATAGTAGATAAGAGTCGGTTATTTTGATGGTAACGTAATTTACGATGCACTCTATAAAATCGACATTTTAGTGCGCTATTTCCTGCACAGTTATATTTTCTTCCACTTCCGGTGGCGTTCTAGGTCAGCTTGCAGCCAGTTCCATTACAATTTTAATTTACTTATCTTTCCCAGAAATATCTTCCACGAACATTTCGATAATACTCAATAGCTACAATTAGATTCAGTCTACGAAAATACTACTTTGGTAAATGTCTCAAAGGAATCTTAAATGAACAGTTTCAATAATGGAAGTAATAATTGTAATATGAAAGTATGGAAGCAATAACGATCGAACAGACGAAACGGAAATAGACTCGCGTAGTAGTATGCAGCGTAGCAAGTCAGACGAACAGACGTTTCCGACTGTACACACGGAAAACTACGACCAACTTGTCCCGAAGAATACTTTCGGATGGAATCCAGGCCAGAAAAAAGTTCCAATTACCTCGTTGTTCGTTTTTCTCTCGCTTCCTGCGCGCAACCAAACTGCAAATGTCACTTTTTTCATTCTTTCGTTTCTGATCGCCTTGTACGAATCCCATCCGTATTCAAAGATGCGATTAATTTTCTCGATTATGCCTCATATAGAAACGTGTCATTTCAAATTAATAGGTTAATATAAAATTATAAGAATATGTTGTATGCACAGTACAAGTAAAGTGCAGATAAATACTAGATGCGACGACAATGGCGACATCTCTATTTTAAGCGCCGAGAGTAGAAAGGAAAAATTAATAACGACACGTGACGGTTGGCAAATTGTTGTTTTGAAACTTGATACTAGCTGCACGAAAACACGTGAATAAAGGGAGTGGTTTCGAGAAGAGAGTGGAGTTGGAAAGATACGTTTTAGTTTTGACAGATAGTTTGGACATTTGAATAATTGCGCGCTTCTCGACCAGTCACGTGGTAATTGTTTCAAAGCATATTCGCATAACCTATATTTTCATTTAATTTATTTCAATTTATCGTAATTCAACTTATCGTATTAGATTACTGAAGTTTGGTGTATTTAATTTAATTTTATACCTTACATTCTCCGTGATAGATATTAATTATATAATTGCGTGAAGTTAGAAATTCTAAAATTGATGTAATACTAAATTGTTACGATTCCAAAGGACCCAATGGTATCAATTAATATCGGTTTCTAAACGTAATTTTAAATTAAAATCCTTAAACCGCTCCTGGCAATTATTCAAAATGTTAACGCGTCAAGGTCTCAGCGCCTCATCCGATGTCAAACCTTTCAAACTCTCAAGGCAAAAGTTCGAAGGACCTCCGTGCAACCGCGCGACCACACTACTCGAAAAGCCGCGCGAACGAAAGAGACGCAACGAAAAAGGAAACAACAGCGAAACACGATCTTCGAAGCATCGTTCGAGTTCGATACGCTTCGAAATATATCGTTGTCAAAATAATGATACGCGAGAAGACATGCCGCAATAGCGTATTTGCGTCGAAAACCTGGTTAAGAGCAGATTTTATACAATATTGCTTCCTTCGTAGATTTGTCTGAACAAAGGAGATTATTTATTTACAATTAGAATAACGACTTAATTCGTCCTCCTCGGTTAACAAATTAAACATATAAATGATTATAAATTATAAACTGATTTCAAAAAGAATTGTACGAATAATTGCATCATCTATTATAGTTATTTTACGGCGAAATAATAACCTAAATGTGATTTACGTAAAAAAAATTTCTTTCAACTTTTCAATGCAAATACCCGTACAGTAACTTACGAAAGTGTATAAACATTTGCCATAGTAAAACTTTCATATATGTATTACGTGTGTTATATAAATACTTTTATGACCGTTGCAAAATATATGCTTGCACTAAATATCTTATAGTTTCTATGTAGATTTTCAAATTTGTTTCAGATTTGTCCAATATAACACACGCAATATACACATAACAGTTCTCTATGATTAAGTGTTCAAATACTTTCACTAACCAGTCTCAAAGTCAAATGGCAATGCAGTCTTGATCTGAAAGTGGTTGACAAGGTACCGAATTTTAAAATTGTCCCTTCGCAAAACTCTTATATTTCTTTTATTCATATGCCATGTGTATTGTGTATATACTCACAGTTTAGTAAGATTGACTGTGGATGGAAGTACAGTGACATCGAGAGGCTCCAGGATGGACAGGAATCCAGCCCCGCGGCAGGAGAACTCCCGTCCGTCGGCAGTGACGTTGCAAGATTCCAGGAGACCAGGTCCACTAGAGGAACCTGGCTGTTCCTCGGCGGAGCAAATCCGGCAGAGGAACATCGCCAATATGACAGCAGCAGTGGTGATGCCGCGGCTGGACTGCGTGCACATGCCGGCCAGCTTCTACTAGGCTTCTCTTCCTTCCTTCTGCCGGAGTCGCCGCGCCCAGGACACGTTTCACTTCACTGCATTATATTTGTCAGACTGCATTATTACATTTATCACATTGGGACCACGATCCCCTCGACGCGCGAAAAGACGGACACAACGACACGGCATACAGAGAAGCGTAAGTACGCGCGGCGTGTTGAGGAGCTTACGTTAGTTGTGTTTAAGCTCGCGAAACGGATAACACGCGCGAACACTTGCCCCAGGACCGAATTACAAACGAATAAACCGTACAGCACGGCGTACGTTTACCGACTGACAGCGCGGGTACGTGCGTAACTGAACCAATCCGCCCTCTTGTTGGAAGCGCTTCCCCCACCATCACCGCGCTCGCCGCCTCGAGCCAATCAACTTTCTCCGTAAAATGCCGCTACCGATACTGTTCGAGTTGTAATAGACTCGCGGCAATCGGCACTTCGTGATCTCCCGTATATAGAGATCCGATCGATTTTCTTCTTTTATTTCGTCTCTTTTAGATTCAGGGTGATTGAGTAGGCGATTAAGAATGTCTCGATGGTCGGATGTTGACCTGGTGATGGCAGAATAGAAAGAGGAAGATCGTATACCGCGTGGTATTTCTTCGGAGAATATATAATTAATAGGTCGAGGATTTGTATGCATTTATATATAAAAGCATACTCAACGCGTTAAAGATTTTATTAAATACGTAAAAAGTATTCATAAGTGGATTTAATACATTTAAAGGAAAACAAGCAGTTACGTTGTACGTATTTCTTTCTGCCGAATATAGTAAATAATGTTCAAGGAATGAAATTTAAATTATATACAACCGAATAAAATCAAATATAAAAGGGTTAACTGCTATCAAAAGATAAGATACAATATGTGAGTATAGGCAATAGATACCATAAATTGCGAAATTTGAAAATGTTTATAGATGAAAGCATAATTTTGTTCAATGTTTGTTTAATAATCTTTACATACTTCTTATACATTATTTTTGTATTTTCTATATAATAATTTACTTTGTTTTTGATTTTTTACTGAAGACTCATAAAAAATGTATGGTATGCCCTCTCTACGTTATACATCAAAACATGCAGCGATAGCAATCGATAATTTCAATTAGTTTCCCTCCATGGATAAATAAAATGTTTAAAAAGTTTTCAACACTCAATAACACGAATATATATATTTTTTTTCATAAGAACATAAATTTTTACTTTCGTAATATCTGTTATCCAAAACATAATACTGTTGTGTGATAATGTAAATCATGTCGTATTTGTAAAATGCGTAAAGATTATAAAAAAAAAAGTAACGTAATGTATGAGTCGTTGAGGTAGTAAATAGAGTTCGATTTATTTTCGGGATATATTGAAGGTGTCAAAGTGTGAATAGGGAGGGATTAGTGTCATCTATGTACTTCATTTACAAATGGAATCAATTATACAAAATACGCAGCCAATTGTGCCATCTTATCTTTCGGTGGACGGGGTTTACCCCGACTACGACCTTTAGCGTGACCACGGCCACGAGTTGTAACCGGTTTTGAGGCGACTGCACGATGCTTTTCCACAAGAGCCATGAAAGCTGGTGTGCAAAAAACACAACCAGTCATCTCCGTAGCTTCATTGGGAAGCTTGCTTTTTTCCTATCATTTAAACAAAAGAAAAATTCATTTTAATATTCTTCGAATATAAATGACTTTTCCAATTAGAATGTAACGTTTAAGGTTGATTATTCTTTACCTGCTTATACTCTACGGTAACTAATTGAGCCCCACAGTCGCACACCTCCGTATCAACCGTCACTTTGTGAGCATTTTCGAATAAATGAATAATAACGTCACAACGATTGCACACAAGTTTCCATTTTGGTGCAGCCGAAGGATCGAGGACGAGTATACCGGCATTACACTCTAAACAACTCGATAAACCATTAGAATTCATGCCATGTGGACAGGTCGGGTGTGTGCAAGAATTACAACCACTCATTCCCTTTTTCATATCTCTGGAATTCATGATTCATGCAATAGTTAGTACGTATTTAAATAATACGAGATTGAATGTGTTCTCTATATCCTATTTGTTCGCAAGAATAAAATTACCTAAATGGGGGATTGTTGTAACAATATGGACAAAATGTATAACTTTTTCCCCGTGCACCAGTGGACCATGAGAGCAATTCGAAGTCGTCTAATGGACACTTTAATTCTTTATAAATTCGAATATTCCCGTTTTGTGGGAGATTGTACGTTTCGTTGCAATGTGCGCAGTGCATTCTCGACGGTTTTGTTTGTATATATTTCATGTAACGTCGACACTTTCCACATCTGAATATAAGAAAGTATTGTCAATAAAAGAAAAAAATAAATATTTAAGTAATCATATATATTTACTGGAATGTAAAATATACCTGGAATGAGCTTTTCCTGACGCAGAAAGAGGAGAAAATGAAACTTCAAACAACTGATCCATTGCTTCGATACTTTTTACAAAATAATGAAATTTTTGCTTGAAAATTTCAACGGTATGTTGTAACACAGCGTGAAAATCTGCTCTGCCTAAAGCTATTAGATTTAATTGCTCCTCTACCGCGGATCTCATCGTAGGTAGAACTAGCTCAGGATCTATCTAATATTAATACAAACATATTACTAGAAGTAACTTATTATTCCTTATATATGTAAAAAGCTACATACTTTTTGATATCCGTGAACTAACACAATCCCTAAAGATGTCGGTACTAATTTTCTACCAGTTGTTACATTAACATAATTTCGCATACATATATTGTTTATATGTACTGGAATAGAGGCATCAGTTCCAATACCGTGTTTTTCCATAAGTGATATTAATTCAGATTCTGTCAAATAATCTGGGGGTTGTGTATAACATTCGACTAACTTCATCTACAAAAATTATAAAACACAGTTATAAATTATTTGATTAAAGTATTTTCACTCTTCATTTTCTACATTTACTACCTCTTGTATATTAACTTTTTCACCCGGTGTAAATCTGGGTAAAGTATCGTTGCTTCCAAGTGCTTGCCATGTAAGTATGTTAGTATATCCAGGATCTATTGAACTATGACCATTCGCCGTAAATACTTCCATTCCTATTTCGAATTTAACCGTGGTACTCAAATATTTACAATCGTGAGCCAGCTGCAAGATATTAAATATTTAAGCTCTCTAAAGTAAATAAAAATTTATATATAGGATATACAATTAGCAATACATATTTACCGTGGCTATAAAATGTCGAGTTATATAATCATATAATCTCCATGTATCACCATCGAGATCGTTTCGAGTAGCATGTTTCATTGGAGTAATAGGAGGATGGTCTCCAACATTGAGCCCTTTTTTCGGTCTATTAATACCCGTTGCTAATATTTTACGAACCTGATCACCCCAATCGGGATTGTTCTGCTGTTGCTTCAATGCTGCACTAAATATAGATACTTTTGCATACGTATAAGTAAAATATAAATAAATTTTGAAGTTGCTTTTGACTTACAGCAAATCGAAATTTTCTGGGTATAATGTTGTCTCAGTTCGAGGATAACTTATGTATCCTTGAGTATAAAGACGTTCTGCAATCTGCATAGCGTGATGGGGACCCATTCCTAAACCCGAACTTGCTATTCTCATTAACTCTACTGTATTTAAAGCTATAGGCCGCGATTTCGTCTTTTCTGTACTTTCTACGCTTATAACCCTATAATAATTAATTGGATAAACATTGTTACATTACTTTAATATTAACATGAAATATTCGTACATACAAATATCTAAAACTTACGTTGCTTGGTCATACTCTTTCACGTGACTCAGAAACATATTTGCTATTTCCTTGTCAAAAGATCGCACGCGGCTCCAACTCAAAATAATGTCTTGACCATCGGATGATTTAACTGTAACCTTCAATACATTCAAGTTTATCTTCTTCCTCAGAGGAATTATATTCTGACATATAAGGGAAAGTTATAAGCCAAGATAAGACACTTATTTTAATACTATACCTGTAGAACCCAGTAAGGATCTGGCTTGAATGTTTGAATTTCATCATGCCTTTGCACACAAAATCCTAACGTTGGTGTTTGACAAGGACCATAGGAAATAAGAGACACATCTAAATCTCCATATTTACCCTATGAAAAAAAAAGGAAATATTAAATTAATATATAATATGAACAGTAAAAACTGCTTTAATATCATTCTACCTGAAAAAATTTTGTCTGGAACCTTGTAAAAGCACAACCAATTCGTAGATCTATTTCTTGTCGAGCATCAACACTCTTTGCTTCATTTTCATTTGGCCTTACCAGGTTTGCTAATGCAGCTTTTATGTCCTTCTCCGTAATAGCAGAAAATCTTGCTCTCCAAATATCCTGTAACAAATATAAAATTTATAAAGTTTCATTAAATTAATATGAATAATTAGATTAAAATTAAGCAAACTTACATTTGGATTTAGTCTCCTATTCATTCCTTGCTGAACTGCATGTATAACTTCAAAACAGATATTTTCACCTTCTTTGTCACAATCTAGCCATAATATTAAATAATCACAATGAGCTCCTTCCTTGGCTAAAAGGAAAGGAATTTTCAATCTAGGAACTGCTTCTTTCTTTTCAGTTGGGCATGAAAATAACTCTGCCTTAAACATAACAAGTAGTATGTTACTAATACAATAAAATAATATAATAAAATATAATGGCAAGACTAAACATTTTTTACTTACAGGATCAACCTTGTCCCAGTTATTATATTTGCCAATAAAATCTAATGTCATAACATGACCAAAGACAGAGGTCATTTTAAAATTTATATTTTCAGACCTGAATTGACCTATCCATTCGTGTATTGAACAAGATCCATTTAAACCTAAATTTTTTTTTTATTAAAATGTGCATTATGAAATACAGGTATCTATGAATCATGGTATTGTAAATTTTATCTTTTTAATTTATAATATTTATCATAAAATTATATCTATGTATTAAATTTCAAAAAAACATAACCTACCTTTTCGAGATGTACACCGACCATTACTTAAAATATTGGCTAACGAAGCTGCCAAAGATGGTTTTTCAGCCACCATTAAAGCCGTCTTCATTTTTGTAGAATATTTTATCTCTATACTTGTTTCTACAAGAAAATATTATTAACTTTAACTAAGAGATTCTGACATCATACATTTGGAGATGCTTAATATGCGACACTGTACGCATGACATGATATTCATTTCAAAATATTTTGATAATTGTTACATTATGTTTTAAATTAACTATTTTTATTTTATAACTTCGTTTCTTTTCAGTTAGAAATAAAGTTGCGGTTTCTAAACAATAATTAAGATAAAGAGCATAAACAGACACATAATAATACTTTTTTTATAATGTAAAGTGAAGTTATCAACGCAATATGTACATGATCACTGATCAGGTATGATCTCATTTAGCTGCGCCATCCTGTATATTTTTCAACTTCATTAGTTTATGAAACAGTTTAACTCGATTAATTATAAACTTGGAATTTTATTTCTTTCACATAATTATATTGATACATTATGTTTCACGAATTAGATTAAAACTACTTAAAACAATTTTAAAACTATTAAAGTACCAAGGAAAATTCCACAATTTTTCCTAAATAAATTTTTAATTTTGCACAGTCTTTAAATACCATATATTTTATTTTTGATTAAAAAAAATTAATTTACAATTTACAGTATTATTAGTAAAATGCAAGGATAAAAATAAAAAATTTCTTTATGATAACATTAATAATTGTCAAATTAACATTCTAAAGTCAGTCTTGTAAGTTGCATGCGGTTATATTTTAATATACGTAGATTGTTTACATATATTTGTAATTCTATGGTATCGTCACGAAGGGAAGTGATGCGTAAATTCCATATAACCATATTCATACGATATTCGTGCGATATATCATGATAACGTTATATTATCTCTTATACTTTAAGAAAAACTAAAATGTCAGAATCAAAATGATCTGTAATACACAGTTACATGCAGTAGTATTTGTTACAATATTTGACCTGTGACTTATTATTTTGTGACTCATCAGTCTGTCAAATCAAACTCCTGATCTTGATATAAACTTCCTAACCTATAAAACGTCATTTTCAAACGATCAAGCATTCTATTATAATTTTCTTTATTCATATCTTCCGAGATAGTCTCTAATATAATTAGGTAATTTTTGCATTAAAAGCTGTTGTTTTATAAGATAAATATTAATATATTTTCTCCGTATGTCTATATATAATCGATTCTTTGAAAGTTAATCATCTTCTATCAATTATTTCTATAATTATGTCTTTTTTTCTCAAATATTAATTATTCTTATTTTTGCTCAAAGGTAATCATAACATTTCATTATGATTTATGCATCAATATTAATTTTAATAGGTGAAGTTGCAATAGTATTTCTACTCTAATCATGGAGTGGTTATTTGGGAAACGTATTACTCCTGAGGAGATGCTCAGGAAAAATCAGAGAGCTTTAAACAAAGCTATGCGAGATCTTGACAGAGAGAGAATGAGGATGGAGCAACAAGAAAAAAAGATCATTGTGGATATAAAGAAACTTGCTAAAGATGGGCAAATGGTAATCTGATCTTGTTTGAATTTGTTTTGTATACTATTGGGTGATATTTATTTACTTTTTGATAGGATGCAGTGAAGATTATGGCTAAAGATCTTGTAAGAACTAGACGTTATGTGAAAAAATTTATGTTGATGAAAGCAAATATCCAAGCAGTTTCTTTAAAGATTCAAACATTGCGTTCACAAAACACAATGGCACAAGCAATGAAGGGAGTCACAAGAGCCATGCAAAATATGAACAAGTGAGTACTTGTCCTGTTCATTTAAAATTAGAATTAGAAAGAATTTTTTATTGCTTGCTATACATGAAAATTGTATGATTGTACAGACAATTAAATCTTCCTCAAATACAAAAAATATTACAAGAGTTTGAAAAGCAGTCAGAAATAATGGATATGAAAGAGGAAATTATGAATGATGCTATTGATGACGCGATGGAAGATGAGGGTGATGAAGAGGAAAGGTATCTTTGCAATTTCTAAATAAAAATATTTGTATCTCTAAAAAGTATTGACTTTTGTTCGTTGAATATTTCAATTGTATTTATACTGTTTATACAGTGATGCTATTGTGTCGCAAGTTTTGGACGAATTGGGTCTCCAATTGACAGATCAATTGTCAGGTTTACCTCAAGCATCCGGTTCATTAAATGTATCAAATTCCAAGCAACCAGTTGCGACTGCGACAGGGAATGACGAAGGTGGAAATTTGACAGATGCGGATGCAGATCTGCAAGCTAGGCTCGAAAATTTAAGACGTGAATAAGAACACATTTCTATATAGATGACAAATGTATAAAAGATGTAAAGGAAAGAATTGGTTTTATAAACATTAATTTTAGGATTGCTTTACGATTTTAGTTAGAGATATGAATGTTTTATCATAGCACTTGTTTTTCAATCCGTTCACTTAAATAATCGATTTATAAAAAATAAGAAGAATGTTATATTTCTATCGCTTAAAACAATTATGAATTCATGAAATATGAATGATGAAGAAACAGAGGCATATAACTTCGTTATGTATTAATCTGTATTGTTACTTTTTTTATAAAAAAAAAAGAAAAATGAAAGGACTTTAAGATGGTATCTTGAAGTTTCTGTGCATATTTTATTTGCACAGGATAATTTTGTAAAGTGGATAACTTATACTTAAAATGCTTATCAAATATATTATGATAAGATACTTACTTATTATATTTTGATAAATGCATGTACATAGATTTACTTGAGAAATTTGTAATTTACGTACATGTACATATACGCTTTCATTTTTTTAGGAAATATTGTACACTTACCGTAAAAGTAAATAAAGGAAATATGTTAGCAGTTTTTATATGAAAAAAAACAGCATATAAATTATATGCTCGCATATTCAAAAGGAGTACACTAAATAAGTTTGTTCACTGCTTTTATCAAAACTTAATCTTTCAGTGCCTCATAATATATCTACTTTTGATAATTATGTAATAGTAAAAATTATATATTGTTCACAGGCATAATAACCGTATTAATAAAATTTATTTATAAATTGTATTAACTACAACAACGTAATCCGTATTATGTATTAACAAATTTGTTGATAGAAATGCAGTGAAACAAGATTGTGCAATGATGTATTAAATATGTGGATAACACACACACATACACGCATATATATATATATATATATACATACAGTAAATCGCTTAATAATGAAAATATTAACAACAATTAAAACTATTGGTAATTATAAATAAACGAAAGACATAATTAAAATGCATTCTTTAATACCTTGCTGATATAAGTAATTAAACATATTATAACTTACCTCTAAAAACTACTATTAAAAACAACCGGTTAGAGAGATTGAAAACAGTCCATTTTAAATAAATTAAAACAATTTGGCAAATTAAACTAAATTAAAGCAATTAAAATAATTTTTCTGTATTACTACTGAAAATATTTAAAAACTCACAAAACGGATTAATATTTTTCAAAATCGCCTGGAGTAGTATTCATTTCCAAAGGGTATCATAGTCAATAATTCTGTGAGAAATATGAAATATTATCTCTATTAAACAAAATGTACATACACATAATAATGCGCATTGGATAATGATTTTAATATCTTGATCGTGAAATACAGGTATAAAATAGTAGTCTGGTCTGGTTTCGAACATGGCCTAGCTAGACGTTCAAAATGAATACGAACGTTTAATTAATTGATCGAAGTGCACTGAATCGATAATTCGGTATCGTTATAGAAAGTTTCAATAAACGTATTTATGTAACGTGTAACTGGACCGCATGTACTTACGGTGTTATTGAGAGACAAAAGAAAAAAGAGAAAAGAAAGGAAAACACTATTTTATACGATATTACTAAAGCGGAAGAACAAGGACATTTCGTGGGCACGCGAATTTTTCGAGTTACATGCAGCTTTCCCAATTATTAATCATTTTGAAAATTAAAACAGTTACGATAAACTGTTAGCTTATTATTCGTATTATTAAAACTGTTAATTTATCGTTTTTCTCTTTCTCTGATTCAATGATTAAATTCGATGCAATTAATTAAATTCGCGCGCCCTTTTATACTTCCTACATTCTCCAAATGGTAAACCCTATAGAAATACGATGTAGTTTACAAAATTGTGATGGAACCTTCTGTCAATCACATGTATATATATTGTCAATATCTTTTTAAACATCTCAGAGGTACCGCCCAAACATAACGTACCCCAAGCTAGAATCGTAATTACCGAAGAAATGTCTTGTAACGTTCCCCGTTATGTTCACTTAGAATTAAACGCTTTCAAAAATTCGCACCCATCGTTAACACTTCGATAGTCACATGAAGTATTGTAATTAGATAATAGGTGTTTAATAATAAGATGATAGTAAGTATTAAATAAAATAAAACATTTGCAAGTTCGTAATATCGGGGATGGATCTGTTTCGCTTATATATAGTTGAATGTCTTACATGAGCTTAAAATGTTTGTTGGTTAAACATCAGTAACTTTTGGCGGAAAAACTATTTTCCACAAGCAACATTACATTGAATCATGCGAGAGGATGTAATCGAGAAATCATTTTAAGTTCATTGCCATTATATTCATCGACGTCCGTTGAAAAATTCACGTAGTGAGGTTATTACCCTGATATTCGTGCAGATAAACGGAAATGATCGAGAGTAAACAAAACAGGAATTTTAATTCGCTTTGAGTACATCTACTACTAACTGTGGTTCTTTCATGGTACGCAATTACGGATCTGTCGTAAATAACATCATTTCTATAGTTATCATTTTCATCGAGTACAATTTTATAATGCGTATTAATCAGAATCGATCTGAGAAGCTTCAAATGGAACAAGGATACAAGAAACAAACTGCTCTTTGCCTTAAAAGTACGATTTAATATGGTATATCTTGCATTGATCTTATAATCGAAAATAAAACAAAGGAAGTAAAAAAGAAATGAACAAATTGAAAAGAAAATCGTATAAATAGAAAATACATATTTGTTCCTTGTTTCCAGGATACCAAAGGAAAGTTTTCAGACTGATTCGTAGTATTTACTGGAATAATGCGCCAGATGCTATAATGTAATAGAAAGTTGTATGCAACACTGAACCTCATGTTATTATCGCAATAATAATTATACACTTCTCGTTGGATGGAAGGGGAATAAATATGCGCGAAGAACAATTCATTTTTTCCTTTTAAATATTCACTATATAAGTGTGGGATTATTAGACCTTATATACGGTGTGTAATCTGTGCATTATGTATGTTTTTCTCCTTTGTACGCAATGTTCTTTTTGTGTACGCACTGGTATGCATGTATGTATATCATATACACGCACGTAACATATATACATATTTAAGCTATGTCAAACACAGCCTTCTCTAGATGCAGCATTATAATCTGACAGTTTTCTTCGTATTCTTTTTTGTTCGTTCTTTAATCTGCGCTGGAATTACAAATAGAAAACCTAAAATCATTTCTTATCTACTGGTAGACACGTGCGAATATATCGATATTTTTGATTCGATCGAACCGAAGAAATTTCCGTTACGGAAATTGATCGCTCGAGCATAATAACATAATAATAATATTGAGGAAGACTATACGCACATATGAAAATATTAACTAAAGATCGTGGTAAATACGAATATTTTGTATATAGAATTCTCTTTCGATAGGTTAGAAACAATAATTCGCACATGTTCAATCTATAATAGCTATAACTATTAAATTACGAATGTTTATACATTTATGGAAAATTTAAAGTTGCAAAAATATATAAAACATTCAAAATAAAATACTTGCCATAATATTTAATGGATGAAAAAGAAACTTCATTTTTCTTTAGAATTTGCATATCCGCATTTCAATTATTGATTTAACTGTCCCTTTTTACAACCTTACTTCATGTACTTGACCATTCGCTTTCGAGATCTATTTTTGCATATCATTTCTATATGGATCGTACATTATGTTGGTTAAACTTACAAATAAAATATTACAACTATATCGTGGAAAAGAAGAACAAAAAAGAACGCGTCATATAACTGCTGGAAATGAACGTGAACGTTCGTAACATAGGTGAGCAACAATTAGGCTTTCGATTAAAATCGCGAATTACGTAGAATTCCGATTTTATCGATTGTGCTTCACTAGTTATGATCCGTGATGGCGCTAGTGTCACCAAATGTCGCATCTTTCAAAACAATATCTTTGTACGCTTCTTTTTTTCATTTAAGTATTGAGAATTGTAACATTAACTGTGACAAAAAAATTCAGTTTTAATATAGTTAATAAAAGGCAATTTACAATTATACAAACTTTATACAAGGAACAATCAAAGTGAACCTATCGATGAAATGGTTTCCTAACAAAGAGAAGAATATATTTAATAAAAGAATGACTGATCATTGTTTAACATTTAAAGACAGTACCTTTCACGATAACATTCACAAAATTGTAAGAAGATTGCCGATATATATATGTATACACGTATTTATGTATATATGTATTGGTTTTGTATTTTCAGTAAGATATTTACAAAAAAAAGTGTAGCAAAGTATGCTCGTCATAACATGTGAAATATAATATCACTGGATCCGTAAAACTTTACTTTTTTTTTAAGAATTATTTAATCCTTTTCGTACGTGCGCGATCATATATACCACTATATGATATCTACGGTTTTTAACGTTTTTGTAAATTGGTTTGACGTTAAGTCAACAACTTCACGAACTACGTGTATGTATATGTATATTTTTTCTTTCTTCTCTTCTTTTTTTTTTGTTCCTTTTAGCTATAAGGTTTTCGCAGTCAGTACTGTTTTTTTTAAATATATGCATATATGGAATATACAGTCCGGTCGTATCGTAGGGTCGAGATATTTTAACCCGTTTATTTGTTCCTTACTAATTGTTCCGTAATGTAACGCATCTATGGATGAACTTTCGCGACACTTTTCTCTAAAAGTCGCGAAAAATCTTTTGGTTTCTAGAAGTCGTGTCCCGTCGTGAATATCCTTGAAAAAGCAAGGAATCATGAAGGTTAGATTTCGCTAATTTTCCTAAATAAAGGGTCAACTGTTGTTCTGCTATCTCGTGGTATATTCTTTTTCGAATGGTCCGATAGTTATTGCGGTATTACAAATGCACAGAATTCCGAGATGTTTCTCGCTTCCCATTTTTTTTTTTACCCTTTTGAATCTAGTGAATTCGAAGTCGTCGGAGAGTCTTCTATTTGTTGAACATACAATACTTTGTACTCCGATTTACGATGCCAATAACAAACGTATTCTATATTTTGAACTTTGGTCCTGTTTTATACAATTTTTTTACATCTTCTGTCGATAAAGTAGATTTCACCTTAGCGAAATTCGATTTCAATCTCGATGAGTAACTACGTATGTATTTTGTGTAACTTTCTAATAATTAGCATCTCATTCACGATAAATTCTCGTAATTTTATCGAAATTCTTAGACTTTCTTGATATCAAATTGTAGTGAACCGGAACCATCTGTTGCACGTGTTTCTCCTTTAATATCACTTTCGAATATATTCATCCAATTTGTTCTCATTTGTTTACAATTGAAACTTACAAACCGTATCTTTTCTGTATAGTCTGTTACTTTAAAGAGTAAACATTTTGCTTGAAGTAATTGGAGCAATCCTATCCACAAAAAGATCTTGAACTAGCTTCTATATACAGGGTGTCTCACTTTTACCATGCGTTTTAAATATTTACATTTTGTAATATTTAAGATATTAAATATCACGATGATCGATATATGCATATTTTAAATGTTTGAAACAACTAATTAATTCACTGTAATACCATTAATATCATATGTAATAGCATTCCTGAAAATAATTTACATAAATTATATAATTTTATATAAATTCAAAAATGAAGGTATTAATTTGTTCCCGAGAACAGTCTTAAACAGAGTTAGGCTTCTCTAACGTGTCAAAAATAAAGTAAATAGCGACAACGAAATTATAATACCGTTCCCATAATAGTCGCAGATTTTCACTAAACGTCCAATAGCTTTCTAAGCATCAAAGTGGATGACTCTCCAATAACTTTAAGCAGCGTATCTTCCTGTTTCGTCAGCTGAATTTCCTCGTGGTAATAACGCAATAACATCCGTTTACTTTGGAACAGCAGTTCCTATACAATTTATTACCCTAAACTCTCGGTTTTCATAATACGAACTTGTCGCTATCTACGAGACATGCGTGGCAAATGAACGTTATTGAAGCGTCGTTTCTTATACCTGGAAGTGAATACTTAAATACTTGTCAAACGAGAATCGTCGTTATTTACATTATTTACGTTATTGTAAAAAGAAAGTCTCCCATGATTGTTGCAATTGTCGCATATCTTTTTTTCTTTTTTTTTTTTTGTTTATTTTTAAATTAAGAACGACATATAAGAATTACTATCGTGGCGGAATAATTGCATTTCATTTTCCTAACCTTACTAGAACGCGCCTACTTATTATTACATTCTATAATTAAATGTTCCGTCACAGAAGTATCTTTTATGCCATTCTTAGGGGAAAAAGAATAGCCGAACTATGAAATTGTAGACAGATGAAATTCAGCGAAAGACTTCCTGGTAACATTACACGTCTGAACGAGTGACGAAAATTGAATGACTATACTAGAGAACAGTTCTTGGTATGTTCAAGGTCGGGCAGTTCTCCCTACCGCCGTTGTTTCACCTTTCTCTTTTTATATTGACAAGACAATAAATAATAGCATTAAAAAAACTCTAAACACGTTACACTTAATTTATTTATAAAAAGAAATAAATAGAATCTTTTATTACCATAATATTATAGGAAAAAGAACTTATACAAAAAATTAAATAAAATCATACTAAAAACAACAATATTGAATAGAGAGAAGGATGATCAGAGATAAATCAAGAGATAACAGCAACGCTGCTGCCTACAATGGAATTATAGTCGAACTATAGAGATAGAATGCAACGGAAAAGATAGCGTCCGTTTTTATGGGAGAATGATCACAAGTGGCCGACGAGTTGAACGATGAAAAGATTAGGAACCACAGATCTAACTCTTAAACTAAAGCTACATATTATCACGTAATCGAAACTCGAGACTAGAATGGAGGCTTTTTTTCCAATGATAAAACAATGAACCGACAAGTAAAGAAGAAACATTTGGTCAAGCACTTAGACGAATGATACAAATCGCTATTCTAGTAGTGTTGCTTATCTGATGAATTATCCTTTGTTTACCGATCTGTGCGCTTACGTCGGAAACGTATCTTTTTTTCTTTTTATTTTACATATTTACACCTCGTTCCAAATCTTTTATAACTCGCTTTATCTAACATCTTGCCCTAACCTCTCTTGTTTCTGGTAGATAGCTAATGGTATCAATTGCAGATCAATAGAATTCATCATATAATTAACTTTAACTTCGAAATAGCAAAATACTCTTCTTCAATGTAAGTCATACACAATGCTTCGATAGGAGTAAGATTTGAGATGAAAAATAGATTAACTGGCCGAAACAAAAATCTGTGCTTAGAAGTTATACTTTGTTTCTTTTGGTTAAAATCCAGTCTTCTCATAGTCTTCCAAATCAATTTTAAAATTCTAATATACTTCTGACTCGCTTATCTGGACTCGACCATAACTCATGGCTAGCTAATGTAATCACTTTCGACCTAAACAATAAGAAAAGCGATAATAAATTCATTTAAATATTGTATACGTATTTTCATTAGCTACCAACCATACCTCTTGCTTTTAATAATAAAGAAATTAGCCTACTCTTCATCGTAACGCGTGTGCCCGCGTAAAATGAATCGAGAAGCATTTCACGAAGTTTCAGCGAGCTTCACGAACTGATTATCCTTGCCCGATAAGCGATCTAACCGGCGGCGTGGCGACGCACGAGGCGCGACGCTCCGCGTGAAAACGGGACAGGGGCGTCCGCCTCGAGTCATATAGTCCAGACCTGCACCTTTTCCGCGACGATGCACCAGCTCGCGTGATCATAGTAAGACGAGATAATATGCAAGTTCTCCACGTATTTGTTGATCAGTTGGTCCAGCTCGCCCTCCCTGAACACGTGATAGTACTGATGATAAGTAATGGCGCCACCTCCGCGATCGGACGGTAAAGATTCCTGGGACGATGATCCGGTCAGGGAATCGTTACTTCCTGTCGTGGTTACCAGACAATCGGTGCTGCGTTTGCTATTGTCTGGATACCTAGGTGGCGTCTCCTCGGAGGCGGACCTCCTTTGTAATTGGAGTCTTCGTTTCTCAGCGTATGATTTAGGGTATTCGTTGGTGTTTGATAATAGCGACATCATGCTGCTGCACAATCGTCCAGTGGACTCCGCGTGGCTTCCGTCGCTGAAACTGATCGTATTATCGATGGACTCGCCAATATCGCTAGACTCTATGGAGTTTGCACTTCTTAGATAAGGTTTCTCCGAAGATTGTTTGTCCAAAGAGGATGTGTCTTTCTCGTTCATGAATTCCCCGGTATTGGAGACCATCACGAAATCCATTATGTCGTCTGAAGTGCTCCTATGCATTTCTTCATGGAAACCATTATTGGTGTTACTCAGCCATGCGATCGTGTTGGATAAATCGTTGTATTTCGACTTGGTAGATATCGACGATGGAATGTCGTAAGGAGGTAGGTGTTCAAAGTTGCGTTTGTCCAAGTCTTTCCTCGATAGGAATGGTTTATCTAAAATCTTCTGATCGTTCTTGTTTTCGTCCAACTCATGCATCAAGTTTTCACTAAGCTTTTCGGTAAAGTCTATCAGATGCTTGCGACATTCTTCGTTCCACGTATCCTCCACTTTTGGCAATTGAATATCCGACTTCGTTCTGACTCTTGTTTCGCTACTAGCTGAACTTTCAACGCTTTCCTGTTGTGCTATTTGCGTCGAGTACGATTTAGTGTGCGTTTTTGTGATGACCGTCTCCACAGTATCCTCCAGAGAATTGGCGACGTTAGCTGCAGCTTCTAGAAGTCTAGAAGACTGAGACGAACTACTGTCTCCTGTTGTCTTCGTTTCATCCTCCTTGGAATCAGCCACGTACCCTGATGATTCGTCAGCTGTCGCATCACTGGGATCAGACACGTTTTCAGCCGAGCTATCTAGCACTTCGGATTCGGTACACTCTGACTTAGTATTATCCTTCTTAGCCATGTATTTCTCATCAGAGATTACGCTAATCACAGAACCTACCGAATCCGGCGACGACACTCCACTGGAATCGCTATCCAGATCATCAGTCTCAGGATTGAATAATTCCAACGAAAGCAACCGTGGTAGAACTTTGGTAACAGCCTCCAAACGACCACTAGCTGTCGTCGAAGCTCTTCTAACCAGAGGAAACGACGGTTTGGTTCGAGTTGCAAAATCAGGCTTCTGTTTCAGCAATTCCTTGATCTGATTTAGTCTGGCCTTACGATTCTCTTCCTCCTTATTGACTTCAAAGGTACTTTTCTCGTGCAACGACACGTCAGGACTATCATCCACGGTAGATAAAAGTGGAGCAGTGTCCTTGTCAGTTTTCGGTTCCTCAATCTCCACACTCTCAGTCATAGATCTATAAGCGCGTATAGATTGCAAGCTAGGTTTCTTCTCTTCGCAGAAATTAGTCCTCCCACAAATCTCACTTTCGATATTCCTTTTATTACCCTGCAAGTCTCCATTGATTGTTTGATGACAGCCATTGTTCAAAACCTCCGTCCTCTTTGTGTTAACAGTATTGTCTCCAGATACCTGTTGCTGGTTGGCGACTGTGGTTGAACCAAAGAATGGCCTGCTAAATACGGGGTTTAAAGTACAAGGGGATAGGCCAGGTGGACTAGGTGGAGGTAGAGACTTGCTAGTAGCTGAGAACTGTTTGAGCAATGGGGATATGGTAATGACCTTCAATCTTGAGTTAGATGTATCAGGAGGATGTTTGACGCGTGGTGAAGGGGGCGCTGAGATGCTTCCCAGCTGATGACCACTGGAGGCTGGAATAATAGCCTCTATCGTTGGCTGTGCGTCCTGCTTTGGCACGTAAATCACGGATGCGAAACTATCCTCGGAATCGACGCTTGTGTCGCTTTGCAAACTACTGTCTTTCGACGAATCCGAACCGTCCTCGCGAGACAAACGCCTTTCGATCACTTCTGTCTCTCTTTTCGGCACAGTTATAGACTGAACCTTCGAGTCATTGTACATCATCTTAGACGCTTCGTCGGTCGATGTATTAGTTGTATTCGTTTCATTTTCCGTGGATTTCCATCCTTGTAAGATCTTCACGAATCCGTTCTTGATCGATATACCGGATACCTCGATGTTAGTCGTGGATTGTTTAATCTTGTTCGTAAGGCCACTTTTCAATAGTTGAAATCTCTTTGTCGCGTTTACGGAATAGAGGGAGTCTCTAAGGGATTCGAAGGTTTTCCCTTTGCAGATAATGTCCTCGTTCAGGGACGCCTGTTTCATTATGTTCCTTCGTACCCTTTCTTTCTCTTCTAGCCTATCGATAGACATTAGTTCCTCGTTCATCGAGCTCTGTTTCAGGATGCTTCCCCGCTTCGAATTATGACCAGGTGTTATCTGAGTGTCGAACGAAACAAAGATATTAATGTCCTAGCCAGTAGTTAAAATTCGAAATCTACAAAAATGAATTTATAGCTAAGCTAAATTTGCGTAATTGTACTTTTTCTATATAATTTAAATTAAAATATCAAAGCTTGATACGATAAGAACTAAAAATAGGTTAGAACCTGAAAGTCTGGAATGTCCTTAGATATTTCTTGAATGGCAGTGTTATCAGGATGTTCCAAACCGGTGTCGTCCACGAGGTGAGTCTTCTGCTTGACTAGCCGTGGCTTCGAGCCACTCATCGACGATGACGTCCTCGATTCCCCGTCCAAATTCAATTCGGACGTCAACACGGAGCACAAACCAGGAATACTGGATCTAGATCGTACAAGGTCCAGTCGCTGAATCTCCAAAATATCACCCAGACTCTTAGATTTAATACTCAGAGAGTCTGACTGTTTGTTCAATGTCACGTTAACATCCTCTACGCGGCGTAACTCGATGGGCAGTTCGTCCACGTCCGGTGGTTCTTCTTGCTCGTAGTCTTTGCGATTCTTCCCACTGCCACTCTGCCAACTGTCAAGAAACCAAGGTCGATTGCCAGATCCACGTCTACTTCCTGCTAATTTCTAAAAAAAAAAAACAGAAATTCCAGTTAGCAATTTAGCTTGGCTATCGAGTCTTGTACGATGATGTTCTAATATTTATGAGCAGATGCGTATATTAGACAAAGCCGTTTGTAAAGCGTTCAATATAGCGTTTCTCAAGTCAGTGGCTTTCCCAGGTCACTCAGAAATGACTTATCTATAAAAAGAGAAAAGATGTCATGAAACGTCGTATCTCAATAAACGAGATACTAATTAAATTTACAATTCTGAATCGTTCGTCTGATTTTCAAAAAACAAGGAAACAGGAATGCTCGAGGTTTCCAAATTACAAGGAGACAGTCGCCTTAAAGATTCCTTCCTAAGATCTCGTTCAATCGATTATCCAACATCCACGAGGAAACAACGAGAGGCAAAATTACTCGGGCATCCCGCTGACAAACGATCTTCGCTGCATTTTGCCCGTTCCAATTACATTCGAAGCGTATTCTGCAAGCAGTTAGCCTACTTTTTTCGGTACCGAGCATCGTTACGGTTGCGCGCGGAATCGATAAGGCCTGGCAACAATTTAGCCACCTATTACTAGAAATTATCGTGTCGCAACAACATGCAGGCGGAAAGTTTAAAGAAAAAAAAAACAGGCGAAAAAGGAATACAGAAAACGAGAAGGAGAAACAATCTCAGCGTTTGCACGCGATTGTATAACACGTGACAACTGGGAACTGTTCAAGGAAACGTGAGCGTAATGCGTGGCTGGAAAGTTGGACCCCATCATCTTTGATGCTCTTCTGCGAAATATACATTTTTCTTTCGTTTCATCTTTTCACAGGTTCTCGGTATAGTAGTAGTAAACAAGTCGCGCCTCGTGGCTTTTATCTGATACAAGAAATATTCCAAATATAGAACATATTCGTTACAATAATAGACGAATTACTCTTTGCCGTATATTTTGTTGCTTTGATTGTACTTATAAAAATATCTTGCAGTCTGTTCTAATCAACGAAATTTATATCTCTTCCGGCAGCCAAGTTTCCAGCCACGAACGTGGTACGTAGATTATGTTACCTGCAAAGCGCGACGGAAAAAACTGTAGCAGGTCTCGTTCGGGCTGGATAGACTGCTGGTTGACGGTGATGGGCTGAATATCGGGTCGATCCAATAGCTCTTGCTTTTGCATTTTCGTTGGCTGTTCCTGAAACAAGAATCCCATTAGCAGTAATTATCGAGGTTACCATATTGGCTCTGGAAAGCGGAAGAAGAGAGGAAGACTAGGGTAGACGATGGAGATGCAATTTTCGTAAATTACCAATCTGGCAGCACTGTCAAAGTTTTCGAATAATTAACTCGTGGCAACCTGGATCGTTTACATTCCGAGCGAACCTTCACTCGTGAATTTTCTCGATTCTAGGAATTTTTATTTTTCCTCAAAGATCTTTTACATCTTCTGATTTAAGATCGATTGTACAACGGATTGGACGAATATGTCAGAGTAATTTTGGCGGATATTTTGGAAGCGTAAAACAGCGATCAACGTGACGTAAACGACTCAGCTTGTGCACAGAAGTACTAAAATATGAAGAGGCGAATTAAGTTGAGCGCAATGCGCGTTCTTCCTTTAGCCTCTTTGGATCGTTGAATCGATTAGATACCTTTTGGAAGATGGGAATTTTTGAGCGTTCTGATTGTAATATAATTCAGTGGCGTGTGGCGCGCTCGAACGTTTCGACCTATTTGTCACCGAGTTCATGCAGTAAGCTTTCGGCCATGGTACCAACACGTCTTGAGACTCGAACTGCAAACGAAAAGAACGAATTTTTTTTTTATTAATATTCATATTTTTTACTCGCTACTATTTATTAAGATACGTATCTTTCACCTTGAAAGTTATCGTCAAAGGAAATCGCGTTTACGCTATTATAAGTGAAATTTCAACCTGATACGTTTCTTTTATATTGTAGGTCAAAAGTAGAGAAAGTTATTACTTGCAGTGGTTGAGATAAAATTTACTTGGGGTGAAGTTTCACCCATGGCTAGCCTTTAAAGGTTAAATTTATTAGAAATTGCTAATATGGTCACTCTGTACAAGTATTAATAGGGATAAGGGATATTAATAAAGATAGAAGTAATTATAAAAGGATATCCAGCGTTGGTAATTAAAAAGCTTCATAACCAAATGAACAAAGTACGTGCACGAAAGATTGGACTGGAAATAGCTAGATTTAATAGCGATAGATTCGAACGGTTTACCTTGACTATGTGCATTGGAATAATCGTATCGATTGACCGTCATGCTTGGCGTGGGTGTATTTCATAGGCATGTTCGAATACCGTTTGAATTCAATCGTATCGGATGACGACATTTTTAAGCTGAATCGAATAGCCTATATATCCGCAAATCCTTCGAATAGCTTGTAATCCGAAGTTTAAGCGCGTTTACACGCTCCACGTGCTATACACAATTCCATACATTTGAAGCTTTTTGTATCACTAAATATCTGCTTTTAACTTGAAACGTAAAACAAAAAATAAATTGAAACAGATGGTATACGGGACTTTGAAATGAAAATAAAAATACGAAGAAATAATATAAAATAAAATTTACATATGGAATATTATAGCATCGCATTATTTTGCCCCTTTGTAATTTTTCTCTTTTTTTTTAATGAGAAATAGTTAAGAATTATTTACCTTTCCACGTCCAATGTTTCGTTTAATTTTCTATCTCCGTTATTTTATTTATTTTAGAAGCAATATTTTATTCATTACACGAAGTTACCAGTTCACTGCATGAACGAATAGAAAAACCAAAAGGGGGATGAACAGGGATGAAATACTAAAGACCGACCACGTAGAAGACACATACTAATCTGTATAGTAAATTAAAACACAGAATATAGATATACATTTGGATAAATAGCGTAACGAGTTAAGAGTTGGCTCTAAGGAATAAACTAATATATTAGGGTGTCCCAAAGTTTCTTCCCTTTTACAAGGAAATAATAGATGCACGACATTCTTTCTTTTACATTATTTTATTCAACTATGTATTATCCATTTTCTAGTAATAGAACAAAATGTTCTCTTACTATTCAAATTATATTATTTTATTGAATCACATATGATCCATTTCGTAGTAATACAACAGTTGTTTGGGTCAACCTAATAGGAGCAAGATGCAGGAAGCGTACACAAGAGCAAAGAGATCGTAACAGGTACGTATGCCTCGATACGATAAACGAACACAATACGATACAAATATTTGATTTGTTACGTTTTATTTACCCTCCTGTGTTTTTGTTCCATAGCCCATACCGATATAACCAGTCGACCGCCGATCCGCAATACTCTTGCGAGTTCTTTCAACGCGTGAACCCGCCTCTCTGTTGTGGCAAAGTGATGCACCACGGCGATCGAGAGGACCGCGTCGAAACTCTCATCTCGAAACGGCAGAGCTAGATTATCGCAGATCAATACCTGCAATGTAAACGACGAATTAATATCTCGCCTATTTTCTAAACACTACGCGCGTTCTCTTTTACATTTCTGCGAAAATTCAAATGCCTCACAGACACAGTCTATTAGCGACAATGATATTAGTTTTTCGCTTGTTGTCAATATTATTACGTACAGTTGTAAGATAGAATTTAATTAGAAAGACATTATAATAATCGCGAGATGACCTATCCCGGATACAATTAATAACGTTCGTTATGATTAGAGCTTAATCAGGTCGTTAGAGGCAGGATACGGATACAAGAGTTTGTTTCCGGTATTAGACTGCAGTTCCATTTTATGTACTCTCGATATTTATATTTTCTAAAGTGATATATTCACCTCATTTTCCTTCTCACGCGCGATATCCGTGAAACGCTTGCACCGGTCCACTCCTACCTTAAAGATGCTGTGATTAACGTTCAGGTACTTCCCGTTGCCACAACCTGAATAAGAGCGATCGACTCGTTAGCTAACGATGTCTAACAAAGTTTCACAAATAAACGTATCTGCAGCTGCGTTCTTTCAGTCGTTTGCGATTAAACGTGTGTTTTTATCGCTACGAAATTTCCTAACATGGAACAGAAATGGAACGGGTCATTACCGACACGCGTGTATCAATTTTATGGCAAGCTTTACACGAAGTTTCCCTCAAAGTATCGAGTCCTGCCGCTCGCTGAAACGGAAATAAGATTCGGAACGTACAGATTCTAGGAGCGCGGCAGCAAGAAAATAAAATTAAATTGATCACGAGTGAACCGCGGGGATTTTACTGCATTTACGGCAGATTTGAGAACGTAAAAACGTACGTAAAACGGCAGATTTGAGAACGTAAAAAAATACGCGTACCATGCAAAGACAGGGAAAATATTCAGAGTGAACTACGTTCTCTGCTATATATGATCAGCGAAATGAATCTACGCGCTAGTTTCTTTAATTAAGAAAAATACGAAATTGCAGGAAAATCCGCAATATAGTTACCAGCGAAATCAAAGGTTTTGCTAGGAATTCCGGTTTGGTAATGCGATCAGCTGATCGGCCTGTAAGAAACAGACCGGAAAACCGATGACTAATTCGACGAGTGAAACCGGTAGTTGAAACGATGAACGAAAAGCGGTTCAGCTGCGGAACACGGTACGCGAACCCGGCCTCAAAGTTCGCTGGTCGATGAGTTTGTGTAATCCAAGGAGAACGTATCCCACGGTATTTCAAAGGTGGCTACGCGACATATCGTTCGACCACATTGCATTTGAACTTAGACAAGCGTACGCGTTACCTGTACGTGATTTACACGAACTCGCGTTGATACATCCGTGCGGAGGTCAATTGATCATGTGAAAGCGCAAGTAGCCGGAGTTAAGAGGCGGGGAAAAAGCGGCCAAAGGAAAGAATAAAGACACGCGTCTATAAATGGGCTGTGCACGCGCGTGTGTGTATGTGTACGTTCCATGGGGCGCGGCTATGTTAAGACTGAAAAATCTGCGAATCGACTCGTGAGATCAACGAGCAGCTAGATTAAATTGTTCGTTTCCGATACAAAAATCTCAGAATATTTTCATTAAATTATATATGTAAATTGTACAGGGTGTCCCAGTATTGTCTTATAGCGTGGTAACCACAAGTTCGCTGCTTTTCCTTTCGTATTTTGCCACAGTCAAGTATACTCGATAAATATTCGAACTAAGGCTTGAACGAACAAATTTTCTTCCATGTTTTGTTCTTATCTTTTCATAAGGAAACACCTCGTGCGTGTTATGCTTGTACTTGTTATTCAAATTATACAATCTTCCTAAAAAAAAGAAAAGAAAAAATGTACAGGTAACAATCTTTCTTTGGTACAGCGTAATTAATATCACATTGTCCTAAATGAAAGTTTAGAAATAAAAATTCTCGTTGCGCTTTGTACGAAGCAGTGGAATCTTCTTACATCCTCTTCGATGCTCGCTTTCGTGATTCGCCTGTTGTTTTTATTCCTGGGTACCTCTGGCCTTGATTCACCGTACATCGAGCAGTCTTTTAGCATGTGCTCGAAGGATCCTGACTTTTTTCTCTCACGTACCTGACACAGTTCCTCTTCGTTTGTACATCGTGCTACTTCTTTTATTTGACTTCCCATTCTTTTCTTCCTACCGATTTTGTCTGTGCCAGGATCTCATTTTAATTCAATCGAACGGTTTATTTCCATATACCGTTCTCTATTCACTTTTCTCCGAGCTCCTTGTAACCTGCTTCGTTTACTAAATACGACCATTCAATGAATCTTTGAGCGACACGTTTAAGCGATCACAGCGATTACGATAATAACATTTTTTCTTCTATCGTGTACATAGACTATACCGACAAAGCTGTAGGACACCCTCTACATGGTAAATGTTAATATCTTCGTTCAAAGGAGACTGTACGATGTGTGAAAAGTCGGTAAAGTTACCAATATCGCAAACAAGGGCTCCCGGCTCCAATTCTTCGAGAAATTGATAGATTCGTGGCCAGTGTCGACTCTGGACCGTTTTTTCGGCGCATTGCTCGTAAACTTCGTGGACGTAGGCTTGCTCCAAGGCCACCGACCGAGCTACTTGCTCTCCGTCGCTTTCAGACATCCCTCTCGCTAAGATGGTTTACCCTCATCCACACGCGTGTCCGCGAAACTGCAAACAAAATCGTCACTCGTTATCGATTCATAAGGGCGAACATAAATTTCACAGTAAAATATCTTTACTTGAACTTGACAGAGTGCAAGGAATTTCGTCGTTGTACGAAAAGACTAAATTCAGACTAAACTTACAACGCTTCTACTTGAAATCCATTGAAAATATCTCTGTATATAGGGCGAGTATTTATTTATTTATTATCATAGCGAGATTATTATATTATTACAATTATATTATTTATGTCGAAGTGGTCACACCACTTATAAGAAAACTCTACGTCTGGTCTTTTTAGTTTTCTCAAGCACCGAAGCCATCGACAGCGCGTAGACAAAAGACTGCGACGAAGTCAGACCATAAACGGTAGACAGGCGACGTTGGTTTTTAGTTATCGGATAACACAGCTAGTGTAACGTCAATTCACATCAGAGATCAGGCCACACACCACGGACAGGATGGCACTCAGTTGTCTGCATATCCTTGGTGCGCACCCTTAATAGTCTTAATTACCCACCAGGGGTCTTGGCATTTTCATAGTTAAGGTCCTTAGGACCAAGCGAGTATTTCCTGTCATAGATTTCCCTTTACGTTTATTGTCTACCACGTGTTAGCTTAGAAAGTTGATTTTCTTCACATCTGGTATGTTCCGTTAGCAACTTTCTCGCGAGGGCGGCTAAAACCCTTCCTGGTCCACCAACCGTCTTATTATCCAATCGGAGACGGTGTCTACTGCCCTCTGCCCTCACTTCCTTAACCAAAATTGTCATCGACAAATCCGATAGTCCCGTGTCCTTAAACACACCCACCCGTAGCCTTCCTCAGACATAGTATTGCCAGAAAAGCTCACTTATTCTATATCCTTAGAATAGTCAACATATCTATACCGGTCTCTACCCTTATAAGTGGCGTACTTAACGTATCGTTGTAACTAAGTCTTACATAACGTGGTTGGAGTGAATTGTGATTCATGTTAATTCAGTGTGTGTTACATTGTGATTGCTGAATTCATAATAAAGTTTAATTAAAACAAAGTTAATAGTTGTGTTACGACTCAGCTATCTTTATTTTCATCAACCAACCTTAAAAATTACGCGACACTAGCGTGCGGATCTGGACCAGCTCAAATTGTATCCTTACTTATAATTACACTTCTATTTAAATATATTTTCTGCCTTGCAATTTATCCACGTGTTTACACATCGAATAACCTCAACAATTTATAAGCTGTGAATTCAAATTGAAAAAATATGTAGATCGATATTAAACGAGACAGAGTGAAGGAAACGGCAAAAGGCGAGGGACTGTTTGCTCTTGCCGTGGTTTTCTACTTGTCGTTTCACGTTACGCTTGTTTTGAAACGGTCTGTACAGTCACTGGCAGCGACCGGATAACCGCCGGTAAATAAAACTGATCCTGATTTCTAATTACGATGGAACTTGAATTACACAACCCAAAACCGCTGCAACTAATTTTACCTCGCGTTAATCCTCTGTGTTTTTTTTTTAATCTGATAAAACACCTACGCAAGGTCACGCGACGATTCTGTACGAAATTTATCATTGTTGTCCCACGTTAACAATAACGCGACGGTTTCTCATAACACGGAAGCTCGGAAACTCTGCGCAGCGGGTTTCTCGACTCGTGTCACGATGCATTTTCACTTGCTCCTTCCGTTTATTCGCCAAAACTATCCTCCGCGTCGCATTGTCTTCCGTCTTATCACCTACGATGAATGGAAACAAAGGATCGGTTTAAATTATTCGAGCGCAGGACAGCTACGCGTATCCCGCCACGCCTCTAAATATTCTACGGATATTTTCCACGAGAATTTTTGTTTAGGAAAAGAAATGAAGTTTGATCTCGTTGATCGAACGTTTCGTAGGAATTTTCGTCAAATTTCTATCAATTTTTTCGACCGGAACAAAGAAGATAGAATTTTGCGATGGTGTGACGCTAGTGAAAGACGTGGCTGATTGTTTATAAACGTTGTTAAGGCATGTTAATGTTGTCAAGGAGTGTTTTGAGCGTTACCAAGGTTTGTTAAAGAAAAAATGAGCGTGGTAATGCTGTCAGAGTTGAATTAATCGTGGTCGAGAGAAGTTCATCGTGTTGCTGTGACGTAGAAATAGCGATAAGCGAATTCGTGAAGCGCGATATTATATTCGATTTTGTGAGAGTGTTGCAATATTGTGTTTATCGTACTGTCTTTTCTGTTAATTTATAATAAACATTCCTCTGCTGTCCAGCTACGAATCTGCCAGTTTTTTCGAATCCTCCGAGTGGAATCGCTTTCGTTTTCAGTGCTGCACGGCTTTAATTTTATTTGGTCATCCATTGATATTCCATAATCGGCGGCCGACGATGGATTCCGGTTTTCAAAGGTACCGGTTTCGTACTTTCTCGTCACTTTCATTTACCAAGCGCTCCCTACACGGTTCCACCTCGATAAGTTGTGAGGAAATCGTTGATGTTTATTAACATCCTTCGACCACTCTTATTCCCAATAAATTCTCGTATCTTACGTCTTTCCCCTCGTGATTTCGTGGCGAATATTTCTCTCTTTGATATACCGATAGACTCGTAAACAATCGTGATATCAACATCATCGTATCAAGTTATATTTAGAAAGGTTCAATTGATAATTGAATCGCATGGAAATGAATTATTAATCCGCTTAAACTTGACTACTTAGTCGCGTATCGTAGATCGTCGGTGCTGTACAAGGAATATCTCGTAAGGAATTTATTGCAAATACAGTAAATCGTCATATAATCGAGTTTTTGCAACGCGAATATGATATAACGCGGCAAATACGCGTAACAAAGCAACAGATTCGTTGAAAAGATCGAACGTGATTCAACGATTGAAAATGAATATTTACTTGCATGAAAAGGAAGACGTTGCAACGCGATTTGCGACGATTCCGACGATGACTGATAACGAAGATCGTAAAAGTATTTTTCAATTAAAAAGAATCTTCAAGAACACAATACGTGGATCTGTATAATTACATTTTTATTAAATTTCAATGAAATACAACATTTTTTACATACATGAATAACATGTTTTTTTTTAATCAACTTCGTATATACGTTATTTGTTTTTAAAATATTGTCCTATTCGACATAGTCGACATAGCGACGATCGCTTGGAACACGTTACTTTCGGAAAACGCGATTTTACTGGAATTTACCGTGTCTCTGAAACAATGGAACATATGAAAAAATATGTTCGTATAATCTTCGTAAAATATTCGTATAATCTTCTGCATGGAAATCGTTTCACATGAGAATCCAAGGACGATTAAATTCTTCTTTTTTTTTTTATCAAATTAAACGCTTCCTATTACGTACAATTGAAATTTCCGATAGATTGCCGATTAAAACGTAATACAGAAACGCAACATAACGTATAAAATATTCCGCGGTGAAGCGGCAGAGCCGGCGGAAAGGTTAAAGTTTAAAAGGCTTTAAAGTTTAAAAATGCCAGCAAGAGTCTAGAGGCGCGTTTTTTTTTAAAAGAACGACTCAAAGGAGGGTTAAAAATAGTCGTCTGCAAGTACTTCCGTTAACGCTAAAATAACAGCTCCAAATACTTCCGTATTCCGTGTATGTTTCACCGGAGGTTCATCCTTAAGAGGACCTAAGATATTTTTAAACGCTGAGCCTCCAAGCTCTTTCATCGAATTCAAGGAAAATCATCCGTGAACATATCTGTCCTCGACTTTCGTTCACCTCCACGGTCAAAGCCTAATCGATCTTACTTTTTGATGTAACGAAAACGCGTTTACCTTTCCAACGAACTGCAACGAAATATTCACATAAATCATAGAGTGACGAAAGGAGAATAAAAATACGCCCATTATGGTCGTTAAACTTTTCGACTGTTGCAACCGTGTTAAAAAGCGATTCTATTCCGATCGTCGCTTCGCAAAAATTGAAAACCGTGAAATTGGGAATAGTCGGTGGAGCGTTTTGGCGGAACACACCGGGCCAGAATCTACAGGTAGCACGTTCGACCTAATTAATCGTCGCTGGTTGGCCTACATCCTAATGAATCGCGTATTGACCAGTGCAACTGAGCTGCACGCACGAGATTATCGGTCGACAGCTGTCGCGAATCCAGTTCGAAACAATAGCTTTGGACATTGAAAAATAGAAGAGGAGGTGTTCGACTAAACGTACGTTCCAAACTGATATCCACGCTCGAAATTGATATTGCCACGTGATCGCGTGCAGCTACGTTCTTCGCTACGTGCGACAATGCGCCTGTTACTATCGCCTCGTGTATTATTTTCTGCTTTTTTATTTATTTTCCTCCTTAGTTTCCTCGGTTTGACGATGATCGAGAATCGATGAATCGTATGGCAAGGACTTTGCTTAGTTACGCGTTCCATAGCGCCGCTACCGATGGATGGAACTTTATTCAAATCCTGTCTAGTCGTAAATCAAGAATCGAGAAAATTACTAATAATCGATGCAACGATAAACGGTATTACGTGTTCTTTCGTGGTTTTAAATTTTCCATAAATGTGTAGAGGAAAAGAGGGAAGAGAAGAGGAGAGAAGACAGGCGATAAAATCGTCTTACTCTTCGGCTCTCTACCAATCAACTTCGTCGAGCGGAATCATCATCAACGCGTCAGAGTGTTGATTTGAAAAATCGATCGGACTATCTGTAATTGGCTGTTTGACAAACCGAACAAAAGGTACGGGAGGGAAACCGAGATACCGAGAGTATATCTGCCTGTGAATACGAACGGGTTTTATCGCGTCCAAAGAGAAATGCTCCATATACGTCAATCCATCGATCAATCAACGCTGTTTTTTCCTATGAGTTTCCCCAGGCATGCAATATTAGTTTGTCCAAAGGAAGGACGACGATTGGAACGATCGTGAAACTGTATTCTGGATTTCGTAATTGCAGCAATGTCTCCATCTAAATATCTTAACGTGGTAACATTTTCTGCGATCGCGAATCGGACAACGAAACAGCTAAATTTATTACGACAGCTATATAGAAATAACGTAGCAGATCTCATTGTGAAGATTAGATCGCAGTGGAGATTAATTGTACTTTCTTTCGAATAAACGGCCATGTAAACTTTAGGCGAACGTTCAATCAAGTTTGTATAGAGGTGTTTGAATTCGAAGAAAAGAGGGATGCGAGGCAATTAGAGTACTTCGTTTAACGAAAGGCGAGCAATTAACGTAATACTCGTAACAATAATTAATAGCTTCCAAAGATTCTTCGAGATTTTAATAACTCGGTTATAGTTCAAATACTTTATACCTGAACGTTATTCGTGAATCGTATCTGTTCAAGTGGGTCTCGCTTCTAGGGAAACTCTACGTCTTCTCTAGTGTTTACTTTTTGGCACGACGATTCTCTTTGCAGCTGTTCCTCCGTTGTATTTGGTCGGCAACTAAGCGATTGCGGATTTTGTCATTAGGTGATGTTGACAAAATCCGCGATCACTTAGTTGCCAACCCAATAGTACCGCGGAAAGATCGCCGACATACAGACAATATCGACGATAAAGCGCAAATGGCGACAAGCCGAAAGGGTCGGAAAACTTCAATAGGGAAAACTTCAATCGATATATTTCGGCAACGCAGCCGTTGATCGTTCACTTAGCCACCGGAAGAGACAAGAGTCAAGAATCGTTAAACGAGAGTTGTCATATCACGCTACTGTATTAAGTCCAAGTTAAACAATCATCGTTTTCTGTTTAATCCACTGTAATAAATCCATCTATCAATGTATTATCACGTAGGATAGAAACCACTGGAAATTCTAAGTTCCAACATTTCTGAATAAAGAATTTCTATAATACATTCATCCACGCGTTTGGTCTCTCTATTCCGAGATATAAAACCTCAACTTATAATTATGTATATATAATTAATAAATTATATATATAATTGCGAATTATAATATTTAATTGTTATTGGCATTTCTATCGATACCGATACGGTGCTTGTAATAAATGTAATCGAGTATCGTAAACGTCACATCGATGATATTTATCAGGTAAAATATAGAACTACGAAAGGACCAAGTATTTCAGAATCCAATAGCCGAATCTAATATAAATCTGATATAATAAACCTAATTGAAATCGTTGTGGCCATTTATGAGCCAGAAATACCGCATAATTGCACAAGACATGCTAAGCCTGTTCCTCTCGTATTTCGCGTGAATGCGCCACTAGTGAAAACTTACCACGCTCGACCATCGAACAATAACTTCTTCTCCTTCGAGCAACGTTTCTAAAGCTTCTGTTCCTGGCAACGGTGGAGGACCCTCGTCGAAATGGTCGTCGTCGACGTTCGTTGTCAACATGGACGACACAAACAGGTCGAGTGGTCTTTCCATTAACGAAAGAGGAATTCTGCAAGACGCGTCCGCCC